TGGGATTATAATTTGTGTATTTTTTTTTTTTTTTTTGAGACAGAGTCTCACTTTGTTGCCAGGCTGGAGTGCAGTGGTGCGATCTTGGCTCACTGCAACCTCTGGCTCCCGGGTTGAAGCCATTCTCCTGCCTCAGCCACCCAAGTAGCTGGGACTACAGGTGCGTGCCACCATGCCCAGCTAATTTTGTATTTTTAGTAGAGACAGGATTTCACCAATGGTCTCGATCTCTTGACCTTGTGATCCGCCTGCCTTGGCCTCCCAAAGTGCTGGATTACAGGGGTGAGCCACTGCACTCGGCCTGTGTATTTTTTAGTAGAGATGGGGTTTCACCATGTTGGCCAGGCTGGTCTCAAATTCCTGACCTCAGGTGATCCACCTGCCTCAGCCTCTCAAAATGCTGGGATTACAGGAGTGAGCCACCATGCCCGGCCTCTAACTCCAATTCATTTTTCCTCCATCATACTATTTAGGAGAATTAGATGATATACTAGAACCTTCAGGATTTAGAAAAATGAATCAGTCTCATGAAACGGTAATGAATGCCAGGCGCGGTGGCTCACGCCTGTAATCCCAGCACTTTGGGAGGCCGATGTGGGGGTGGATCACCTGAGGTCAGGAGTTCAAGACCAGCTTGGCCATCATGGAAAAACCTCATCTTTAAAAAAAAAAGAAGGGGAATGAATTTGCATTACTGTACATTTGCATTTTTCATATACATTACAAGAGAATCTCTGTGTGGGGAATATATATTGTTACCATGTCACAGATAATGAAACAGAGGATCAAAGAGATGAAGGGATTTGTCTAAATTCTCACACCTGGTTCATAGAGGCAACTGGATGTGAATCCACTTTAACCCCTCAGTGTGCTCCATGGACCAGTGGCATCAGCATCACCTGGGAGCTTATTAGAACCACAGAATATCAACCCCATCCTCCCAACAATCTGCATTTCAACAAGATGTATGCCTATTAAAGTTTGAGAAGTACTGCTTTATATCAAGCTGCACTTTAATTTACTTAAAAAAAGATAAAAAGACTTAAAGGGATTCATTGTCCATAAAATTATGACAATCTTTATTTTTTAACAGATAAACTTTTTTTCCTTGTCAATGAATATTTATTAAACATGCACAATGTATTAGGTATTGCAGAAA